TTAGGATAACGGGAGGACACAAACTAGCGTCGTCCCGTCACCCTAAGCTCAGTATACCGCAAGCTACAACTCGCGGTATACTGAGACGCCGCAGCGGATCCCGACATCGATGTCGAGATCCGCCCAGCTGCGTGAGTGACAGCTGGCTCTGCCTATCTAAGATGACTACACTAACTCACTGTACTATATCATGGGTGAGCAGCGTTGTCACCGTAAGACAGGGATGTCCAAACTCTGGCCCTCCAGCCGTTGTGGAACTACAAATCCCATGAAGTGTTAGGACTACTGAACTCCTCCTTTTTTCTCATCTCCATTGCATAGGGAGAAGAGTTCAGATGTCCACAGAAGAACTTCAGACCGGGCTGATCAACACTGGTTGAGATTTCAGTGCAGGAGAGGCAGCAACCCAGCCTATGTGTTTGCAAGTGTGCCACAGTTCTGTAATACAAATCAGATTAAGGGGTGGACAAATGATGGAATTCATGAGTCAGTCTGTCCAATCCAGGAGCCAGCAGGATTTTGTTTAGGAGCCAGCTCCATTGATGACGACTAGAGAAAAGCTCAAAAGTTAGGCGCAAGCTGTCAATATAAGGAAGATTGGCGACCTGGCTCCTGGTTTAACGTGGATGGGTCAGCTGTGCTTTCCCTTGTACCCCAGCACCCTTCCTTCACGCCCGGCTGCTGTGAACAAAGATGGACGCTATGGCTGAGTGTGGAGGAGCATGTGACTCGCTCCATGCTGGTGATTGGCCCAGCACCGTCACATGGGGTAGGGAGACGGCCCTGTGTGAGCTCCAGCTGGGAATCCGACTTGAGCTTACACAGTACTGACTTTTCTTTCTCCCGGCGGCTCCATGGAACACAGAGACTGATGGAAAGGTGAGAATGTGCTATTGGGCAGGAGAACGGACAGGAGAATGGGGCATTCACTTGAGCTTGTTTTGCCATGCATGAGCAAACCACGGGTTCACTTTAAACACGGTCCGTGTCTTCGAATTGGCGGATCATTCAGAGGAAACTCTTGTTCTTTCAAAGATTCATTTGGCAAGGTGTTGATGTAAGCTGATCCAACAAGAGTTGCACAACTAAACTGTTATTCTGAATGCTCTGATGCTGCTTTTCCCTTGCTGAAGGATATAATAGACGGCGTTGGCTGCGGATTGGAGAATGTCTTTCTGCATTCCTGGTGTGTTGTGGAAAACAGGAAGGTAATACTCTAGTCTGAGGTGTGACTCACCTGCAACAGATCTGAAGGAGCTACATGGTCCATCATGTCCTTCTCGGTTCTGGTGCCTGAGGTTACATGGGTGGGTCACACTTTCTGTAGCTTGAGGGCGCTGTATGCGACATTGTCTTTATCTTATTGGCTTCAGTACAGGGGAAACTACACAATGGGGACAGTTCTCGGAACAGTTCAGTTACGAATTCAGGACCTGGAGACTGTGTTTACTCTGCTGTCCTCCCATATGTGCTGTTTGTCACTCCCACGCCGTTCACTTCATGGCTGTGGGCTTGAGATAGGAGTCCAGCAGTTTTCAGCTAGCTTGGCAGACGGTCTCAATCATGGAGCAGTTGCAGATTTTCATGTGTATCTAGAATGGGAAGAAAGTTGCTGTTCAGGTTAGATCATTGGAGGATAAGTGCACTTGTAGCAAAGTGCACTTATCATTTTTGCCCCCTGACCTGACCTAACCTAACCCACCCGCTCCACAGAAGCATGCTTGCCTCGATTGGATGGCTGCAGTTCCGCTGTTGGTTTACATCAGAGATGCAAGTCTTCACTATCCTGGCCGCTCCTGCTCATTACAGTTCTATAGGATCCTCTCTGATTGTTTCCAGCCTTGGATACAGCCCCATAGAAGAATATGGAGATGTGAGCTGCTGCGGTGCTGGCTTTCAGAATACAATAGACCAGCAGGTTAGATTTCCCCCATCCCCGCAGGCTGAACCAAAGAAGTCTATGGCTGGGGTCTCGCCACAATGATCCAAGTAAATCCAGCATGTTTACACATTATAGAATGCTTACCTCCTAGTTGGTGTGCAGTCATGGAGCAATGGCAGGTCCAGGCTCTGCCACCTCTTCATCACCGCCTCTTCTGGGGCCCAGCCATGACCGCCATCTTCATCACCACCTCTTTTGGAGTCTGCCCGTGACCACCATCTTCATTGCTGCCTCTTCTGGGGCCCAGCCATGACCACCATCTTCATTGCTGCCTCTTCCGGGGCCCAGCCATGACCACCATCTTCATTGCTGCCTCTTCTGGGGCCCAGTCATGACCGCCATCTTCATCACCACCTTTTGGAGTCTGCCCGTCACCACCTTTTTGGAGTCTGCCCGTGACCACCATCTTCATTGCTGCCCCTTCTGGGGTCCACCCGTGACCATCTTCATTGCTGCCCCTTCTGGGGTCCAGCCACGACCACCATCTTCATTGCCGCCTCTTCTAGGGGTCCAGCCGCAACCACCCTTTTCATTGCCGCCACTTCTAGGGGTCCACCCATGACCACCATCTTCGTTGCCGCCTCTTTTGGGGTCTACCCACAACCGCCATCTTTGTTGCTGCTTCCTCTGGGGTCCTGGAACAATTCTCCTCTGCCATTGGGCAGCCATTAATGATGTAACTCCTGCACATCTATTCCTGGTACTTGGCTCTAATCTCGGCCTAGAGATAAAAGCACAGCACAAAGGTTTTTAAGGCAAAAGGCCTCTTGGCTCTTGTGTGAGTATGTAACATACCAGGGCTGGACGAATCCCAGGAGCCAGGTCACCAATGCTCCTTAATAATATAGGTGGCACCTAACTTTTGAGATTTAGTTGATGTCAATAGAGCTGGCTCCTAAAAAAAATCCTTTTGGCTCCTGGTTTGGACAGACTGGCTCCTGAAGTCCCCTTCTGCCGTTTGGTTGATTTTTATAACCATATTGGACCGTTATGTAGATCAGAAAAGGGGAAATGAAACCGATGAACAAATATACGCCAGAGGTCATTATTTGCTTTCATGACTCAGAGGGGAATCTACCAAGACTGGCGCAGCTGTGCATGGCAACCAATCAGCTTCTAGCTTTCATTACCAAAGCTGAACTGAACACAATGAAGATGGAAGCTGATTGGCTGAAGAATCTTGCAATACCTCATGGGATTTGTAGTTACACCACAGCTGGAGGGCCGGAGGTTTGCTACCCCTGCTCTAGAGCACTGGTAGGCAAACTCCCGTTGTGCTGGCACTACAAATCCCATCCTGCATCTGCCACTAGAAGTCATACCTGGGACTTTCAAAATCTTGTAGTGCCTCATGGGACTTGTAGTTGCACCTCTGCTGGTGGACCTGTGTTTGCTTACCCCTGCTCTGGTGTGAATAGCAATCCTTTTCTTTCTTGGAATATGCGGCGCAGGATGTACACGCCGCAAAAGGATCACAGCATGCGCATACTGAATGCAGCATTTTGGGTAACAGTCAATATATTGACAGCTGATGGCGCAGGTTTGTTAATAAATCGCAGCCGCCATTTACGCAATGCTATAGACGGCTCGGCCGTTTCCAAGCTGCCATAACCTGATCTGCGAGAGCCGGCTCACCGCAGGGTTCCCTCCTGCCCGGCTTTTACGCTGCAGATCTCTGGCTCTTTGTTCACACGTGCTGTCCCTCCCTTGTGACTCAAGCAGCTGATTAACCACATGATTCTCCAATGGCGAGGAAATTTAGCGTTTCCTTTTGTGTGATTTTTGAATGGGTCTCGCAGCAGTTTACGCTGAGATCAGCAAATTCATTGGTTGGTGCCGTTCTTCAGATTTTAGCGATCGCCAATAGAGTATAAAAGGAAATTGTTCACCATGTTCAGTCCAATGAGGGTTGCGGTGGACAAAACCCTTTTTCTTGCTGCTATGTACGGGTGTTGTTGTTTTTTTTTTTTTTATCTTTTTTGGTTAAGATGAAGGCAACCTCCATCTCTGCCGAAACAACAAATCCTGTCATGCCTGTGACTATCGGTCTTGCAATGCCTCATGGGACTTGTGGTTCCACAACAGCTGGACTGCTGAGGTTGCTTACACCTGGTCCCCAGTCCACTCTAAACTGGGATGGAGGAATTTTGCTTGACTGCTATTGTATTCTCCCAGTACCCGGTATTTTATTTTTTTGTTCAAGTGCTACAGGCTGTACATATCCTATGTAGAGAGCAGAGCTGTGGGAGGGGCCCAACAGGCCCCTCCCACCACAGGAAACTACAGGAGGGGGACGGAGACAATACCAGTCACCCTGCACAAGGAGAGAGCCGCAGTGTGCGGTTTTTATTACAGAAGGGGTGAAGACAAGACCAGTCCCCCTTTACAAGCAGAGAGCAGCAGTGACCGGTCTTTATTACAGGAGGGGGCGGAGACGAGACCAGTCACCCTGCACAAGGAGAGAGCCGTAGTGTGCGGCCTTAATTACAGGAGGGGCGGAGACAAGACCAGTCACCCTGCACAATGAGAGAGCCGTAGTGTGCGGTCTTTATTACAGGAGGGGGCGGAGACGAGACCAGTCACCCTGCACAAGGAGAGCAGCCGTGAGCGGCCTTTATTACAGGAAGCTCCAAGTTTTGCACAGTTCTAGAAATACACAAAGCTCACCGAGACTCTTAACACTCATGTCTCTTGTATGAGAAGCAGATCTGCTCATCCCGGAGTTCAGCTCTGTTTATTCATTTGAAGCCAATAATGTCACCGTGTGATTGCAGCCTGACACTGTAGGACATTTGAGGTTTCCATTACAGGGCCCCTGGCAGAGGAGGAAGCTCGCTGTGCGTGCCGTTGGATCGTCTCTTCCTTCAGCATGCTTTTGGTTGTCACACTGATTGTTTCTTTTCCTTCTGTTCATGTGATTTAATGAGTCAGCTGCACTGAATGGGGTGACTCAGAGGGGCTGGGCCTTTGCTGGAGGCCCCTCCCACATCCCAGTTTTTGCTCTTTGTGCTGGTCACATGATCACCTGTTTCCTTTTACAGCACCTTGTTGGTGACAGTTCGTTCAGGTCATGTGTGTTTTGTATGCAGGCTTATCCGGGCTCCTTGCGGATGCCTTTGGGGTCAGTTAATGCGTGCAGGGAGGGAATGGGGCAATGAAGCCCTAGATCAGGGGAGAGCAACCCTCAGCGCACTCGACTGCAAATCCCAACATGAGTCATGCCTGCGGCTGTCAGTCTTGCAATGCCTCATGGGACTTGTAGTTGCACCACAGCTGGATGGCCATTGTGAGAGGCTAAGATCACGTTTTCACATTTTTTGAGAAAGTGAAGTTGCCCTTTAAATTCTATGGCGTATGGCCAGTTTAAAGGGGTAGCGTCTTATTTTTTTTACATAGGCCTCTGCTCTAATCCTAGCGCGCATCGTCTGCTGCCTTTGGGACAGTCTATTATGGGAGCACAGGTTCACTTTATAGGTGAAGGAATTCTGTTTTTGTGTCGTGCCGTTCAGCTGTCCTAAAACTATTGCCTAAGGTGCCGAGCTTCTGACATATTTCCTGGAAGCGGTGAGGGACGGAGAGCTGTGTTGGGGATTGCTCTGATGTTGTAACACAGCATTGGCAGCAACAGTGCGAAGTATCGGCTATTCTGGAGTGCAGTCATGTGCACAGGTTTTAGATGCCAGTAAATGTGATCTGCTTAAAGTAGACCTGTCACTTTCCTCCGTACTTTCATATTAAATCTGACCTCCGGCCTTCCCTTCGCTCTGATATCTGACCCTCCGGCCTTCCCTTCGCTCTGATATCTGACCCTCCGGCCTTCCCTTCGCTCTGATATCTGACCCTCCGGCCAACGATTATCGTAAGGTGTGTGGAAGCCATGCCACCTCTACTACTGTAAGGTCGCACAACTTTTATCTTAGGAACATGTTCGAAAAACCCGTCGAGAATCATACGATTTTCGGCGGGTGTGTAGCATGTTCGTAAGATAAAAGCCGGACGGGCCGGTGTGCGCAACCGCACACTGCCCGTTCTGCATTGCGGTCATCCGAAGCCCGCCGCTCAGGGGGGCGCGGCTTGCGATCATCGCAAGTACGATCTGCCGGTCCAAGATGGGCAGATCGAACGTTTTTTTAATTACCTTACAACCATCGCAAGACAAAAGTCTTGCGATGGTTGTAAGGTGTGTGCCCAGCATTACACAATTTGGTTGCTATGAAACCTTTTCTCCCACTTGCCAACAATATGCAAAATGTATTATTATAAGTGACGCCCTCGTGTCTCATTTCTCGATTTCTAGCGGCTGGCTGTTGGCCTCCTCGCAGTGCCGCTGGTTCCCGGTCATGGATTGCAGGCACCCCTGGATACCTGCTCCCACATTCGGATTATTTACGCTCGGGGAGGGGGGGAGTTAATGTTTCCCTTCATCATGCCTGTCTGTACTGTGCTGGCAGATCTCATCATCACTTGTAAACTAGATTTTAACAGCATCTGTCCTAACAAAGGGTTTAAAGACTTAGTAGTATTTGGGCGAGTACTCGTACTTGCCCAAATGATCCCGATACTTATCCCGATACCGGAACTTCTGGTATCGGGAAGTCACGCAGCGAGTCATTACACGTCGCCTGACTTTTTGATTGGCCGGGAAGCCGGCTCCATACTCACTTGTCATCAGGAAACATGGAGCCGGCTCCTTGACCAATCGGAAAGCTAGGCAGTGGGTGACGACTCGCCGCCCGGCTTCCTGATTGATCGGGAGGCTAGCCAATTGGGAAGCCGGCTGTGGTGAGTCAATTCCCCAACCCCCCCCAGCTTTCTGTTTGGCCAGAAAGCAGGTGTTCTGTCGAAAGCTCCAACTCCTCGAGCGGTGGCCATATTGAGTGTGGCAACTCAGATTAATAACATGCTGGATTAGTGTGATCCTAGTTCATTTTTAATATTTTATTGCTGTGTAGTATGTGTATAGGGAAATACCGCGGGTGGCGCACGTGCAGTAGTCTTCTCGGCCAAGCACCTTAGTTCTAACTAAACCAGAAGTCAGGCAGTTGGAGAACTCTAGGAGTTGGAGCTTTTGACAGAACACCGGCTCCATGCTTCTTCACTTTCTGACCAGGGAGCATGGAACCGGCTTCCCGGCTAATCCAGAAGCTGGGCGGCGAGTGATTACACGCCGCCCGGATTTCTTTTAATAGTCCTTTCGGTGTCGGTATTAGGGCTGCAACAACTAATCGACATAATCGATTTTGAAAATAATCGTTAGCTGCAGCTCTAGTCGGTATTTCATATCAGCAAGTACCGAAAAACCGATATCGGTGCGTCCCTACTTGGAAGCATTGTATGGTAATGGTGGGAAGCTCAGATTGTCCCTCTACTTTCACTTTGAAACTGCTCAGAGTAGCCTGGAATCTGCACAAAGACCTCCCACTAAAATCTCTAAAAAGTAACAAATATTGTAAAATAATACTTTTGTATATATACTTTTATACTTTGTGAGTGCAAACAAATAACTTGGAGAGGTTTCTTTAAATGCAACTTCAGAAATGGAAATACATTTTAAAGCTTTTTCCTTTCCTTAGTATTTTTAAAGTTCCCTTTTTAAGAACTGATTTCCTTCATCCAGACCCCTCTGTGGGTGTCATGAATGTTCTTTTGGTTCTTATGAATGTTTTTTGGTTCTTAAAGGGAACTTTAAAAATGCTCAGAAGAGGAAACCCGTCTTCAGATCTACTTTATATATGAGCGGTAGGAGTGTTTGCTGTGAACACTTTGTTGAAGGATTTCCAGGATCGGCTTGTACTCTGTTCAGACCCATTAGGCCTCGGGCAGATGGGGGGAGTGTTAATAATTGATTACATGTAGCACTACACACAGCTCGCACACAGGAGACCTTCAGTCGTATGTTCTGTGTTTATGACCCGAGTGACTTCTAAAGTCCATATTTCTGACCTGAGATGGCTGTGTGTCAGTCTGATCCCAGATCTGTTTCTTTGAGGGGGTTGTTTTGTTTGTGACCTTAGAGTGTGTGTGTGTGTGTGTGTGTGTGTGTGTTCTGCAGGGGGTGCCTTAAAGTGACGGCGTCCTTGATCTACCAAAAACCCTTCACCAGCTGTCACGTTACAAAAATCAATGCTGTGACTTGCTACTCACATCCTGCCAATTTACTGAAGACCTCAGCAATGACTGGAGACCAGAGACGTCACTGAGAATGCCGTCTGTCCACTCCCTGTACATGGGTGACGTCGGCGAGAATGCAGTTTGTGTTCATGGACTTTGGCAACCCAGCTAGGAATTCAGTCAATCCCTTCAATGCAGACAGGTGACATAGTTGGGCATGCAACCTTCCCATTTACCATTGGCAGGTTAGATTCCAGGTGAGATTCCACCCTATGTGATCATTCCGCATTCTTGCCCAAGTAATACTGTACAACACAGCGCCCAATAGATGAGTATCTTCACATCAATGTAAAGGGAGGAGGCTGCCGTCCTCAAGGCCACCAGGAAGCATCCCCACAAATCATGTCAAATAGAAAAATAGGGGGATAGCCCCCACTCCTAGTGTAAAAATGTTTGTGTTTTTTTTATTAAATGGAGTACAATGATTATACAAAAAGCTACTCGCAATGTGGATGAGCAAATAACATGCGGTTGTCAAAGGAGACCTGAATGCTGACGTGCGTTTCGGGGGGAGTTTCCCCCCTTCCTTGGAGCTAATTTCTTAGCTAAGTAGTCTTGTCTCTGCTGATCATTCATTAGATGATGAGGAAGACTGTAGTCACTGGAGATGTGCGCCATAGCCAAAAATAAATCTGGCCAATGGATCGGCTAAATCGGGTGTAGGCAACCTCAGCACTCTGAGGCTGTAAAAGTCCCATGAGGCATTGCAGGACTGGCAACCACAGGTATGACTTCCAGGAGCATGTGGTTTTACTGGGGATGCACTGATACCGGTATTTCGGCATCGAGTACAAGTACCGATATATATTTTTTTCCGGTACTCGCCGATACCGAGTACTGGAAGTCCCATTCAGGAAGCCAGGCGGCGTGTATTGACTCGCCACCCGGCTTCCGGATTAGCAAGGAAGCCATCCCCCATGCTTCTCGCCACTAGGTGATGAAGCCAATCAGGAAGCCGGGTGGCGTGTAATGACGCAGTGCCCGGCTTCCTGATTGGCCGGGAACTCCTGGAGTTCAGCCTTTAAAGTAAATCCCCAAATTTTGGGTTGTCGTCAGCACAGGAGTAGATGGGAAATCTTCCAATGGGGACACTAGTTCTTTCTGGTAACCACCAGGGATTTCCCTCTCTTGGGAGGAATTTTCTCTCCCTTCCAGTTGTGGCTATCAGACAGGAAGTGAAATCTTCCCAATGGGACACAGATGGCAAAAGGAGTCCTATTGCAGGGTGCTATGGAGCCACCCTTGTGTGTGTTGGTAAGCTCTATGTCCCCACAAACACACAGGGAAAGCTGACCTGGGTTATAACCTCCCTTACTGCAATTAACTAGACTAAGTCCTCCGTCCGTAGCGAGAAGCCGGTGCAAGAAATCGCTCAACAGCATTCCCTGGCTGGGTGTTAACATGCTGATGACGCTTGGAATGGGTCTTGCTCCACAACTGATACTTATAATATATCTTACAAAGCCCTCACAGCCCTATTTCATCAGCATGGTCCATTTCACTTTCCATCAATTCAAGTGTGAACTCTCAAGTAGCTCTCACATTCAAGTGCTCCCGAATGCTGGAGATCCTTAAAGAACTCGGACGTCTATAAACGTATATTCTAAACTCTTCTGGGCTGCCTGCAAAAAACTACAGGAAGGGGGCGGAGACAAGACCAGTCATCCTGCACAAGTAGAGAGCAGCAGTGACCGGTCTTTATTACAGGAGGGGGTGGAGACTAGACCAGTCACCCTGCACAAAGAGAGCAGCAGTGACTGATTTTTAACAGGAAGTTGTTGTGGGTTTGTTCACCTTTTTTTTGAAAAGGTGAACTTTCCCTTTAAGCCTTTTTTCACTTTACCATTGTCTCATGTCATCAAGGTAGAACCATTCATTTATTTATATTTACTTTTGTCAGCTCAGTTTGGGTTTAGAAGAAATGATTTTAGGATTTTCATGCAATTTAACTCTCGGCAAAAATCACAATATGACCATAGAGCCGGATAACAATCAAACCGTTTTTTCTTCTAGGGCAGTAGACGATCGTTCTTGGCAGACGGCTGAGAGTTTATCTGAACCTGTAATTGCGCGTTATGAGTTCTCGAGTCTCTGACATCTGTTGTATCAGCTGCATCACCAGCACAGATGCAGGAAAATGGCTCCTAGCTACAAATCTCGACACTTTAATATTGTCATCCTGAAGATCTTGTTTCTATTGTTTCGAAGGCATTTAAAGCCTAAACAATGTACTTCTTAGGCCCCTTTCACATGGGCGGCGTCCATTCCGATCAGCAGGGGATCCGTGCACATATCCCCCGCCGATCAGAGCGGTATGGAACATCAGTGTTCGTTCAGCTGTTTCCTCCACCTTGCGACGGAGATAAAAACTAAACTAGCCGGACCCATGTTAGGTTTATGGGTGTCAGTTTTAAGTCTACGTGGTAGGGATGCACGCATACCGTTTTTTTTTTTTTTGGGCATAGAGTAAGAGTACCGACATTTATATTTCAGTACTTCGGGCATTCCGCTGCCCGGTTTCTTGATTGCCCAGGAAGCCGGCTCGATGCTGACTGGCCCGGGGTGGTTTCCTAGCCAATCGGGAAGCTGGTAGGCGGGTCATTACCTGCGGCCCGGCTTCTTGCTTGGCCGGGGAGCTGGCTCTATGCTCTTTGGCCAGCTCAGTGCTTATTGGCTGGGAAGCTGACTTCCCAGCGAATCAGCAAGGAGCCAGCCTCCGGTCCCATCAGAAAGCGGGACCATGAGTCATTACCTGTGGCTCAGCTTCCCGGCCAATCAGGATGTTCCCTCGCGGCAATGCCGGTCTTTTTCCGAGTGCTCGCCCCAAATACTCTGTACTGGCACCGATACTAGTACGTGGGTCAAGCAAGCCGGCTCCAAGGACCAGGGGAGTATAACTGTGATTTTTGCATCTAGACCAAAACAGGCAGTTAACCCTTTGCAGTGCGAGTGTAGCCCCATTGCAAAGGTTGTTTCCCCGGAGTTCTTCTATGAGTTCAAGAGATTTAACCTGTTGATCCTTCCAGAAATACTCCCACAGGTCAGCTCCCTGCACATGCAATTTACAGCACAGTGATGATGTCACGGCTACTTTTATATGGTAATATCTGGATTGAGTGACTTTATATTCTTTTGTAGCTGTAGAGGAATACATTTAAAGGAGAACTATGAGGTGAGCGCTTTTTACTCACCTCATAGTTCTAGCCGACCTGTGACAATGAGACTGTCACAGGTCGGCTCAGTAGATCGGGAGGTGAGCGACCACATACCGGCGTTCGCTCACCTCTCGATCTGTCACGGCTCTCTGCCGTGACAGGGGAGGGGCTGGATTCCCCCCTCCCCGCTCCGATCCGTCAGCGCTGACTGGTGGAACGGACGTGGGAGGGGCGGGTACAGCTGGCTCTGCCTCTAGATAGGCAGAGCCAGCTGTCAGTCACGCAGCTAGGCGGATCCCGGCATATTTGTCGGGATCCGCTTCAGCTGCGGCGTCTCAGTATAACGCAAGCTACAGCTCGCGGTATACTGAGCCTAGGGTGATGGGAGGACGCTAGTTTGTGTCCTCCCGTTACCCTAAGGAGAACTATGGGGAAAAGCCCTGACCCCATAGTTCTCAAAGAGTTTTTGTGCCTGGAGTTGAGCTTTAGAGGTGGTAGTTCTTCTGTTTGAGCAATTGGTGTAGTCGGCAATTTTTGGGTACCGGGTATTTCTCGTGTCAGATGCCCATTTTTAGTTCAGTCAGAAAACCTACACAGGACGTACTTAGCGCCTGATTGAGATCTTTGTGTGCATATGAGGTTCAGACCGATGTCAGGTTGTGGCTCGTTTATAATGCTTACCTTCATGTTTGGAAGGTGGCAAAAAAAAAAATCTCACAGGAAGCAATTAAAATAAATACAGAGGATCTGCGCTGCTGAAAATGCAGGCCGAGGGCAAAGGACGAGTCACCGGTATTGTCTGTTTGTATTCCTCATCTTCCTTATTACTGACTCATGCTTTGTTCTGCTTTTGTGCAGAGCGGCCCTCTTGGCAGAGACAGGACTTTGCTTCCTAGTGTCAGAGCTGTCCCCTCTGATTGGTTGAAATAAGCAGCAGGGAAGGTGGAGCGGTAATGGATCCACAAAATGAGTATGAATAAAGCCGGGAGATGCTTCCATTTCAGGTCATCAGATGCAGCTTCCTCTCCGGCAAGGAGAACAATGAGCCGCACAATGGTGAACTCTCCAAATCTCACTTCAAATCTCTTGAATCCAGCAGTCAGAGGCAACCGTGCCTTAGATCTCACACTGTGGATATACAGCTATGAGTGCCTAGGCACAGGAAGTGATCCGCTATATTCAAGGTCAAATTCATGATTAAAGGTGGTGGCTGCGGTTGGAGGAAATCCTGGAGTTTCACTTAAAATTTTGTAACGTTTAGTAGTGTTAAACCCATGAGATTTTTTTTTTTTCTTCTTTGTTAATGTTTTTCATTGGGAAGATTTCCTTTCCCTTTCTGTCCCATAAATGCGAAGGATGACCATAAAAGTTACCATCAGTTTTAGATTTACCAAAATAATGTAATATATGGACGTACCTAACCCCATCCAATCATTTTCCATCTAATCAGGCAGGCCGTCATACTACGTGGATCTAAAGAGATTGCACAATCCCTTCACACTGTTGTGGCACAGTAAGGCTGGGCACACACCTTACAACCATCACAAGACTTTTGCCTCGCGATGGTTGTAAGGTACTTAAGAAAACGTACAATCTGCCTATCTTGGACAGGCAGATCGTACTTGGGATGATCGCAAGCCGCGCCCCCCTGAGGGGCGGGCTTCCGATGACCGAAATGCCGAACGGGCAGTGTGCGGTTGTGCACACCGGCACGTCCGGCTTTTATCTTACGGACATGCTACACACCCGACTAATAGCGTACGATGCTCGGCGGGTTTTCGAACATGTTCCTAAGATAAAAGTCGTGCGACCTTACAGTAGCAGAGGTCGCACGGCTCCCACACACCTTACGATAATCGTACGATCGCGGGATTTCCCCCGATTATCGTACGATTGTCGTAAGGTGTGTGGGGACCTTTACACACATGCGTTGACGCATGTTATTGTGCATTGTTAGGACCGTCCATTCATTTGATTGGGCTGCCTAATGAACAAAAAAATGCATGTACTACGTCTCCAAATATGCCGCCTCTGGAAGCAAAACGTACTCTAACACCCTGATTTGTTTTCCTTTTTCTCTTCGCAGTTCTTTTTTGAAAGATGACGTCCAGAAAGAAAGTGCTTCTGAAGGTCATCATCCTGGGGGATTCTGGGTAAGCAGAGCATCTTCTATGACATTTACATTGTCTCCTTGTGAGATTTAATGTAGAAAAATCAGTATTTGTTCAAAAAATAAAATGAGTTTCTGATGCTCGGTGCTGATTTTAAGATTGGCTTGTGCGTTCTCTGCCACTCTATCTGTCCCCAAAAAAGGGTATAAAATTCATTTCAGTACAGCGCTGCATGACGGAATAAATGTCAGTTAAAGTACCGCAGCGCTGAATACTGAAAAATGGCCTGGATGGGAAGGGGGTTTAACACCGCGCATGTCAACTGGTTAATCTGCTGATTTTGGTGCCAGGAAGTGGCTTTTCAGAAAAGCATATACAGTATGTTCCTTTCTGCTTCAAGGGAACTCTTGGCTGAGCACCACTTCTGTTTTCTGTGGAGAACATGAAACAATACATGAGAATTGCAGTCAAATATATTAGAGGTAATTTCCTGTAGAGCGGGGGGGGGGTGCTGGGGTAGGCCGGCGGTAGGGGGTCCTCCGGCCCTTCAGTTGTGGTCCAAGTACGAATCCTTTTAAGCATTGCAAGACTCTTGACAGCTGCAGTCATGAATGCCAGAGGCAGATGCATAATAGGATTTGTAGACATCTGAAGAGGTCAGAGGTTGCCTACCCCTGCAAGACCCATTGAGTACTTGAAAGAACTGATGCAGTCTGAGACCAGAAGCTTACAATCTAACATCTTGTCCTTCTCAATTGTGACTCCAGCAGCACCACCTTGCCATTTACAGTGAAAGCGATCCCAGACTGAGATTGTGATCCTGTTTTTAAAACTGGGACCATCTCTGATCCTGAATTCAGTGCCTAGCATGGTCACTGACTTCCTATTTGGCTTCAGTGCCTAACATGAGCCTGTTCACTGACTCAGTATTCTGACTTTGGTGCCTGGCATGGTTGGGCACTCCTTATCCTGCCTTTGGTGCCGAGCATGGTCAGGGACGCCCTATCCTACCTTTGGTGCCGAGCATGGTCAGGGATGCCCTATCCTGGCTTTGGTGCCTGGCATGGTCAGTGACTCGACCTAGGTAGTGCAGCCAGGGTTAACTGACTGCCCCAGAAACTGGTGCCTGGCATGGTTGGGCACTTCCTATCCTGCCTTTGGTGCCGAGCATGGTCAGGGATGCCCTATCCTACCTTTGGTGCCGAGCATGGTCAGGGATGCCCTATCCTGGCTTTGGTGCCTGGCATGGTCAGTGACTCGACCTAGGTAGTGCAGCCAGGGTCAACTGACAGCCCTAGAAACTGCACCTTTTTAAAATGGCAGCTCCCATGTTTGTCCCTCAGGTTCCTTTTGAGCAGCCACTAGTCAATCTTATAAGTGATCTTACTACTGTTGGCTGAAATCTGATTGGCTGCTGTGGTTTACTAACCGTGATGATCTGTTATTTTGGCTTGCAGACAGATTGTAAGTGAAGGACTGATTTGTTTTTGTTCTCCTGCAGGGTTGGCAAGACTTCTCTTATGAACCAATATGTTAATAAGAAATTTACTAACCAGTACAAGGCCACAATCGGGGCTGACTTTCTGACCAAGGAGGTGATGGTGGATGACCGGCTGGTCACAATGCAGGTATAGTACCATTGTGGGGTAATGGGCATCTTGACTTGTAGTCCTCTGTGTGTCAGTGTCAAATATTATTTTTTTAAAAGTTTTAGATGGAGTTGGGAAACCTTAAACTCCTGTAATTTGTTTTTTATTTTATATTTCCATCAAGAACCATGTCACAGCTAGCTAGGTTCACCCTCTCTTCAGAGATGTCAGCAAAACAAGAGCTGAGGAGAAATCTTCCACTAGAAACATGTTCCAGAGACAACTCCCTCATAGAAATTCCCCTTACTTTGCAGTAATCCACGCTCACTTCCTGCTTGCTTCTCCCAGAACAGGAAGTAAATAGAATCTTCCCAACAGGGAGCAAATATGAACAAACCTGGGTTTATAACCCTTCTAAACTCTCTAAAACAATGTTGCTGTAAATACTTTTTAAAAGTCAACTCAACAGCTGTATATACAAAGGAAAACCAAAACGTGTATTGTATACAATGATTTTGATGTACAAAAGTTTGGGTGGTGATGGCAACATCGGCAATTAACTTTTTACTGTAAACGCCGTAACAAGGACTAGAGGCCACCACCTAAAATTGGTGGAGGAAAGATTTAACCGCAAAGGGCGTAGGGGTTTCTTTTCAGTCGGGTTACATTTTAGAACTCTCTCTGCCACAAGCCATGGTATCAGCTGAGAGTATTGAATCATTCAAAAATCACTTAAATACCTTCATAAGAGACCGTAACATACAAGGGTACAGGTACTCTTAAAAAAAGATTAGACCACACAGGGACCTGTGTATACACAGACACACAAAGGTTGAACTTGATGGACCTGTGTCCTTTATTCAACCTCAAATACTATGTAACTATGTACCCTGTTTCCCCGAAAGACCTAACACTATTTTTCAAGATTCCTGCAATATAAGACCTACCCCGAAAATAAGACCTAGTTTGGTGGTAGCATGTGAGGGGGGGAAGTTGCAGGAGAGATGGTATCAGCCTGCAGGGACACACTGTATTAAGGGGATGACGGGACTCCCTCCGGCCAGCGCAGTGACAGGGAGCACTCCAGTACCATACGTCACCAACTGCTGTCCCCCTGAAGGCACTGCTTAATGTAATGGTACTGTACTGTAATGTGTATTGGTAAATGGTACCGTACTTTACCGCGCTGTCTGATGTCCCCACTGCTACACCGCTGGTACCACTGTCCCTGATGGCAAAGGAAGCCAGCGCTGTAGAAGGAAAACCAAAACGTGTATTGTATACAATGATTTTGATGTACAAAAGTTTGGGTGGTGATGGCAACATCGGCAATTAACTTTTTACTGTAAACGCCGTAACAAGGACTAGAGGCCACCACCTAAAATTGGTGGAGGAAAGATTTAACCGCAAAGGGCGTAGGGGTTTCTTTTCAGTCGGGTTACATTTTAGAACTCTCTCTGCCACAAGCCATGGTATCAGCTGAGAGTATTGAATCATTCAAAAATCACTTAAATACCTTCATAAGAGACCGTAACATACAAGGGTACAGGTACTCTTAAAAAAAGATTAGACCACACAGGGACCTGTGTATACACAGACACACAAAGGTTGAACTTGATGGACCTGTGTCCTTTATTCAACCTCAAATACTATGTAACTATGTACCCTGTTTCCCCGAAAGACCTAACACTATTTTTCAAGATTCCTGCAATATAAGACCTACCCCGAAAATAAGACCTAGTTTGGTGGTAGCATGTGAGGGGGGGAAGTTGCAGGAGAGATGGTATCAGCCTGCAGGGACACACTGTATTAAGGGGATGACGGGACTCCCTCCGGCCAGCGCAGTGACAGGGAGCACTCCAGTACCATACGTCACCAACTGCTGTCCCCCTGAAGGCACTGCTTAATGTAATGGTACTGTACTGTAATGTGTATTGGTAAATGGTACCGTACTTTACCGCGCTGTCTGATGTCCCCACTGCTACACCGCTGGTACCACTGTCCCTGATGGCAAAGGAAGCCAGCGCTGTAGAAAGCAAGGCTGTGGCGGCGGAGGGAGCAGAGCCGCATTAGCAGATATTCCTCTAGAGCGCCAGTTACTGTGACGGGCGGAGTGATACCAGATAACTTTAGATTGTTGTACATTTTGTTGCACATTTTAACAAAAATAAGATAGCCCCTGAAAATATGACCTAGTGTAGTTTTTGGGGGCAAAAAAAAATATAAGACTGTCTTATTTTCGGGGAAACATGGTATACAGGATCTGTGTTGGCTACCAAAAAAAAGTAGACTTCCTCCCTCTCCCATTGACTGCTCCTTTGGATTGCTAGTGACTATTACCACATTGGAGACCCAACACCCTGAGCGCTCTCTCTTCTGTAAGCCACCAACGTACTTCTCTCTCTCTCAGACCCTTCCTGTTACAGAGCAGCCCTTCCCACTTCATTTCACATTTCATGTGGTATGTGTGATGTTGGTATTGACATATTAGTTGATGGATTGAAGCATATAACTTTTAAAGAAATTCCCGAGTCAAAGGATGTTTTCTATGCTTGCTTGGAACATTTTGCTCTGAATGTTTCGGCAAGATTAAAGGTCCACGAAGGCCTTGTTCACACGGGCAGCCGCCGGCGAGAATTTGCAGCATTTCATGGCGGAGAAACTAGCCCCTTGCCCACCGTGTACAAATAGATAGCCAATGCCGCCGATGCTCATATGTGTGTTCTAATACCAGCGGTTACATGAGATTAGGGCCTCTGAAGGGCCCTGGACGCAGACAGTTGGCATCCAGGTTCGGTGCTTCCGGCCGCATACAAACTGGGCGCCCTCTGCTGGAGGGGAGAGGAGGGTGCCCTCATTTTGAACAGCACCCCAATGCGCTAAGGCAACACGCCTTCATTGCAGCGTGCTGCAACACACAATATTGGATTGGGGTGCATTGCAGGACAAAGAATAGGTCACTTGCAATTTCCAGGACTTCAAGGTGCCCAATGCGACACGCGTTAGCGGCGCGGCAGAAATGTAAGTCGGCCCCAGCTCCGAGCTCGATGAATTTCTTGGGACATACCAAAGCTTAACGTGACGCATCTCATTACCAGGACGCTTTCACCTCCTAGCTGACTTGTCATGTGTCTAGAAGTGGGTATTGTGCTGGTATCCATGACAACCACATTTCCGAAATACAAGTGTTAATCACATGACAGAGAGTGTGACTGCTGCGTGCTCTGGGCCCGGCTTATATCATCATGAAGTCAGTGTTTTGTCCTGAGCAGAATTTTCATTATTCCGGTGTAATGCTCCAAACACCGTTTCTGATTTTTAAAATGTGAAAGCGGCTTAGAGAACAGAGGTTGGCTGCGAGTGTCGGGATTGTGGCCCTTCCTGTATATTACACGTGTATCAGTACAGCATTCTGACCCCGGAACTTGCTGTGGAAAGAACGTCTGTCGGAAAAATGCCAGTTTCTGATTATTACAGGGGGGGGGCGCCCTCTATGGGAGGATGAGG